GAATTCATTTATATCAGGGAATGATTATGTCCTTCTATGTGTCTGTTTCTATAGGAGATAGTAGACCAAAACGAAGAGCAGAACGAATTTGTCACCAAACTCTTTGAAAAGGTTAGTTGACCAGGCGTGATAGGGAAGGGTGGAAGATGCAGAGGACAAAGTAGAACAGGTAATTTTATAAAGTGTGGATTTGCATCAGCCTGACACTGTGTGTAACCTGTGATTTAAGACTATTCATTTCTCAGACTGCTACTTCCTATTAAAGTTCTCGAGTTTTTAGACAATTGAGTGTAGCCGTTGTTTCCAGAAGGCTCCTGTAACATGATTATCAGTTCTTGGAAGCTACACTGATTACTTGTAGGAGAAGGAAATTTAATCTCTGAGAAAATGGAATATAACAGAATTGAGAATCATTGTTGTTGGGAATGAGATGGGTGAAGAGAGAGAGAGCATGATAATGATATCCTTGGGGACTTTTGTGTGCAGGGGGGGAGGGGGGAAGGGGGTGGCGAACAGAAAGAAAGGTCTCCTGGGTAGTCACCTGGGGAGAAGGAAGGCCTGGGGCCATACACCTGGTCCCCTTGGCTTCTTTTCCTGGGCTTCTCAAGGTTGAGTATGGCAGAGGTTGGTGGTGTAAATACAGTGCTCTAGAAGCCACTCTTCCTAGCCTGTAAAATGTTTAGGAATGGAGTGAGGAGCAGACTGAAAATCTGTGGTCTGATATTTGACCAATGTCACTAAAACAAGAAATGAGCACCCTGTGTCAGTGGCTCTCTGAGTAAACCCACAACTCAGTTGCCTTCACCCTGGGATATTTTGCTTAATGCAGCCAGGGAGGATAAGTCGGAATCTTACATGTGTTGTTTATAAGACTTTTCCTCCATGGCAGCAGTGTCAGGCTTTTTACCTTGCAATCCTTTCATCAGATGAATTCTCATACAGAATTCCAAACATATAAAAATGAGGAAAATTGCATATTATGAATATGTATCATTTTTATAGAATTCAAATGTATGATACTTATATTTTATGGATATATGTAAAGTCTACTTCAATATAAAAGGTTGCTTTTGATAAACTATAAAATTAAAATCTGGAGTTTGAGTTGACAACATTTTATTAAGAAAAAAATTCAAACTGAGTTGTTTGCTGAGTTTTTGGAACCAGTTTGAGACTCACTGCTTCCTATAAGCTATGGCTTAGGACCCTGTCCTGCTCTGGCCAAGGTGCTTAGTTAAAAAGCATTTCTCACAAAAAAAGAATTTCTCACTAAACAACAGATTTCATTACACATCTGTTCACACTCCTGATGAGCAGCATTGCAGAGTCACTTATTTCTGTTCCGAAATGGCACATGGACCGTGTTGAACCCGTGCTGGAGAGGACATTCCAGCCCTGGTAGCTCGTGGTCCCTCTGCTGTCTAATGAGCCTTCAATAACAATGATGTTCTCTTGCCATTCTGATTCCATTTCAGTATCCAGAAATAAATGCAGTTCAATTGCAGAACATCCTGAACCACGTGACCTTGTCAGGTAAGTATTTGAGAGTCATCCTGCAGGACTCAGCTTTTCTGAACTCTGCCTGTTCCTTGTTACTGGATGGGACATGTGAATTACTGAGTGCTGGTCCCAGCAAGCAGCTGTGATTTACCCCAGGGTGGGTTATGGGGGCTGACAAAGCAGTAGTGGGATTTAGCCAACTTTGAAAAGAGTTCATTTTTTTCCTCGAGTTTGGGTGTGTAAAGATATATGGCAATGAGAAATAAAGATTCCTGCCGCTTTGCTAGTTTGAGAGAAATAACCGAGTACTTTCTGAGCATATCAATTTCACATGGAAGAACTGCATCCATTTCCTCCATCTAGGGTATAAATATTAAGTATCGACAAGCCTACCCAGGGAACTCGCCGATGAACTCATATTTAAACTGATCAAGTTACAAATATTTTGAAGGAGAGAGCTCATCATTTAGGAGGACTGCAAGTGGGTAGTGGGGACGCTTTGATAGGATGGATGCCTGATAAGGAAAGCTTAAAACTCAGATAAAAATGTTTTATGTGTATATTTGGTGGGAGAAGAACATGGAAGAAATAAGCTGATTTCTCCAGGGAGGAGAATGAAATTCAAAGTGAAAAAAGTAAAACAAACAATTAAATGATTTTTTGCTACCTAAGAGATATAATTGCTTCTACTTGATATGAGGCCAAGATCTCAAACTCAGACAAATTGCAGCCCAGGATATTGTATGACTGAGCATTTAAAATAATTTCCAGATGATTTTTCAAAGTCAAATTTGGCAAAGAGTCATAAGAGAAGACTCTAGAAATTATAGAACATAAGTTCCTCTCTCCCACCAAAAAAATTCTAGAGTGATTATTGGGACATGATATAGAAGAGATGGCTCATGCACATTTAAATTTTAAAAACTGTAAATAAATGATTTATAATTATATCAATTTATGGGATATGAAGTGATATGATTTATAAAACAATGTGGAATAATGAAGTCAAGTCAGTTAACCTATCCATCTCTGAAATATTTAACATTTTTTGTGTTGCATCCTCTCTATCCATATCCATTTTGAAATGTACATTTTACTCTGTTATTAACTATATTCCCCATGCTGTGACATAGAACAATAAGAACAAAACCATATTCCTCCTGTCCAAATGAGATTTTGTTCCCTTTGGCCATCATCTCTCTATTCCCTGCATCCCCTAGACTCTCTCTGCAGAACATCTCCTTGGGAGCATAATTTGGTTTCAACATTAAAATGCCGCCTGAAAACTTGGGAAGTGAAGGCCCACTGTACTCAGTTTAATCAAATTGCAGCTAAAGGATTATGTTAAAGTCTTAGCATCACACTTCAGAGAGATACTGGCAAAGCATGGGGTTCAGAAGAGGGTGACAAAGGCTTAGAAGCCATATCATCTGAGTAGTTGGAGAAGTATTTTGATGTTTACAAGGGAGAGGACAAATGTGTGGTCCTACACATTTCTGGAGGCAGTCCTAGGATCAGTGAGTGACTATTACAGGAGGTTCCTTAGTAGTTAGTGCCAGGAGTTTCTCCAGGCAGGGGTTCTCCGTCCATGCCAAAAAGTGAACACCTGTAATGAACAGACCTGAGGAAAGAGCCCCCCCCCCAGTTTGGGTGGGAGCATAAACAAGTGACTTCTCAGATCCCTTGCAGATCAGGGAGTCTGTGATCCTGTGATCCCAGCTATTCCTATGTATGTAGGATATGTACACTTGGCCCACTGGCTAAGCAAAGCTCAGCTGTAACTGGTGGGTTTTGCAGGGTTCTACTGCCCTTCAGAGATATAGGACTTACCCTCAAACCTTCTCTCTCCATTGTGCTCTCATGCTCCTTTCCACCTTTGTACAGCTGGGCTATTAGAACCTATGGCCTGCTTGGGTGGCACTGCCTCTTCCTGCCCAGTCTGGAACCAGCCCCCATGCAAACTCTTTGTGCTTCTTCACAGGTCTTGGGAATACACAGCCTCTCTTCAGCCTCGAAGCCTGCCAGGGGATCCTGGCCCTACTGGATGTATCTTTTTACATCTGTGGATAGATGATCTGTTGCTGGTGCAGAGCTTCATTCTAGAGTCAGGTTGTCTGGGTTTGAATTTCCAACCCCAGCTCCTACTAGTATGGTGATCTTGCACAAGTTATCAGTCTTCATTGTGTCTCTAGGTGCTCATATGAAGCCTGGGAATTGTTTTAGTAAGCCTGGTCTATAGCATTGGTGGGAGAATGCAAAGGGGACAGTATGGCAAAGTGCTGAGAGCAGAACTGTCATCTAAGAGATGGTCAGTATTAGCTGCCGATAATGATAATATTTGCTGGGAGTGAAGACGAGGCAGCTGGAGGGGTGGGGGTTAGTAATAATTCTCCAGGTTTATAAGAGGTCTTTACAAGTATCTCAGGGCCCTAAGGTTTTCACTTGGTGAAGGGGTGGTAGTTGCCCCCTTTTATAGATCAGTAAACAAGAACTCAGAAAGTTAAGATATGCCATGAACTCAGTTTTCCTGATTCTCAGCGCTGTGACTTTTCTAGCAAATGCTACACCTTTCTAAATAGACAGTTTAAGCAAAGTGTGATCATCCATACTACACAGAGGCACGTAGACTGGAAAGGTTGGGACAGATGGTACAAATGCAAAAAGTCACGTCTGCAGAAACTCAGACAGTGTAGGATGGTGGTTAGCCATACAGGCACTGGAGCAGGTCCCAGCCCTGTCACCACCTGTATGAACTTGAACAAGATCATAACCTCTCTGAGTCTCATTTCATCATCTAGAACACGTGAGAGTGAATGCCTCCTTCAGCTACGAGGTGTAAATGAAGCAACGTCGGCAAAGTATGTCATTCAGTGCTAGACCCCACACAAGGGCTCAACCAGAGATAGTATATGGTAATATTTGGACCCAGTCTTTTTGAGTCTGAATATATCTGGATGTGGTCACTGGGTCAACTTTAGGCTTTTAGTTATTTTTTAAAAAATGACTAAATTTAAGAGGCATCCTTAGCCACCCTGTGCCAGACTTCTTCCATAACTTGACTTTAACAATAATGAAAAATAATTGCTGTTTTTGATTTAAATCACATCAAATTGGTCATGTTTGCTTCACTAAATGGTAGCTATCATCATCACCATCACCATTTCTTCCAGTGCTTCAATGTTCTGGATCATTCTGTCCTTTTCTAGCAAGGGTGTGGGAGCCCTTTGTTGAGCTAGTCCGTGTGTGAGGGGGAAGGGCAACTAAGGACTCAGATACTGAATGGGTTGTCCATAAATTGCACAATGCTACATGGAGGGCTGATTGCTGCCTCCAGAGCTGTGGATGGAACTCTCCCCTGGCAGCTTTTACCTTAACCTTACCAGCTGAATGCATCAGGTACTGTGAGCATTCAGGAATTCAGGGACCTATGGAAGCAGCTGATGCTCTATAAGGTAAGAACACATCTCACCACATCTCTTTGAAGGATGGTGCAGAAATGGCAAAACCACACAAGCTACCTCTCTGCCCTGTAGCTCTTTATGAGACTTTTCTGCTTTTATTCCTCCTGAAATCAGAGAGACAGTTGCAATAATCACCTGGATTTCTAAAATACATATCTGGTCATGTCACTTCCTTGTGAAAAGCTTTATAAGACCCATCATTGACTCCAGAGAATGTCCAAACTCCTTAGCACATTTGACACTTAAAGTTCTTCATAAATAAGCTCCTTTCTATTCTTCCAATCATTACTCACAACCTACCATGTGCTCCGAGTCACAGACTTGGTGCCATTTCAAAGTGTGAATAATGTACTTAAATCAAGCACATTTACCTATACCTAGCCTATCTATATCCAATGAGAAAAAGACCTCCTGCTTTCTCAGAAGCCTTCCTCCATCAGAAATGTGCAGTAGGGTCCTGGCCTGGGCTTTCTGTGGTATTCTTATCCCCAACAGTTTCCCCTGCAGTGTAAATGTTGGGCACATAGGGGCTTTTGGATGACCTTGAAAATGCCTGGCTCCCTTAGCCTTGGTTTTTATTCTTTGCAGGAGGTTTTCCACAAGCAAGATACTAACCGCTCAGGATATCTGAACTGGTTGCAGCTGCAAGCTGCCATGATGGAGGCAGGTAGGTAAGGGGTGGGAGAGAGGTGCAAGGTGCCCTCCTCAGGCAGGGAGGAAGGGGGAGGTATAACTTTCTGAAGTAACTCTCATATGCAATGTTACTCCTCGCGACCAGAGGCTCAAAGACATGGATCTGCAAATAACAAAACCACTTACTATTTTATCACTGTGACTATAGCTAACATTTAATGAGGATTGACATACCTAGGCTCTCTCATCAACAATATCCTATTATAATCCTCTCTTTAAAGAGGAAGAAATTCAAGCCCAAAGAAGCCAAGTCACTTGCTAGTGTTTAAATCTGGGATTACTTGGGCTCCAAAGCAAATGTTCCTGATGATAAGAAATGTGACCACTACACAGACTGCCTCCTGCCTTGGAGGCCAGTAACCTACTTGATAAAAAGATTCTCACACTTATGGCCTAAGGAAATGGATGGGGAGTGGGAATAAAATAAAATTAATAGATAATTAAACCATTCCAAATGGACTCCAGAATAGAAGATGCCCATGCAATCAGGACTCAGGGATGATTTAAGGGGCCTTGGGTGGGAGAGGTGCTGTGCAGAATATTCCCAGCACCCACAGTAGCAGCCTGTGTTCAATGCAGGAATCGTGCTCAGTGACAACGTCTGCAAGCTGATGGTCATCCGCTATGGTGGCCCCAACCTCCAGATAAACTTCGTCAGCTTTGTCCTCTTGATGCTGCGTGCAGAGAACATGGAGGGTGAGCTGGGGGGAGGGCGAGAGGGAGGAAGGACCTGGGATTTTTCTGAATGCCCCATGGTTGCTTGCCTGTCCCTAGTTCAACTATGAGGAAAGACAGATGCTAGTCCAGGAACAACAGGCCAGCAGAGCAATGGGAACAGTGGCCATGTGTCTGTGTGTGCATGTACCCAAACTAGTTAAAACCCTGCCTCAACCCAGAGGCAAAGGTTTGAGGTATCTCGCTTACTGTAAATGTGGCCACATGTGGTTACTTGAAATCTAAATTGAGCTCCCTCTTGTTTTCAGCACAAATGTGGTTATGGTGAGGGGATGTATGGGGGGAACTGAGGGGAACTGAGCCATAATATTTCCAACACACACACACTCAAATTAACCATACTTCTTTCTGTTGCATTGTTCCAGATGCCTTCCAAAACTTAACCCAAGATGGCAAAGGGATATATCTCCAGAAGTCAGAGGTAAGATGTTTTCCAGAAAGTTGACCCACATCATCTTTTGGCTATTGCAGATTCAGGCTCTTTTGAAAAAAGAGGGTTCTGAGGACCTTTTATTCTACTAAGAGATTTAGCACTGCATTCATGGCACTCACTCATTTATCAGATAGCTACTAAGCACCCACTCTGTATGAAGGGAACATAATCGGTGTTTCCAATAACTATGACCACAATAAAGCCAGGTGGCAAATCTACCAAACCTCAGCAGTGTCCAATAAGTACTTAATTAGCTCTCATGTCTCACGGCTGGAAGCAGACAAATCTCACCTGGCTTGCTCAGGCATCTGTGGGTTGGCCGGGAGCTCTGCTGTGGTATCTTAATTGAGAACACTCTGACCAGGCTTGCCCTTCTTAGGACAATGGCAGAAACGTAAGAAAGGAAGCTGCTACACACAAAGCTTCTGAGACCAAGGCTCTGAACTGGCAGATCATATCTTGTAACTCCATCTGTAATCTAAAGCAAGTTACATGGCCAAGTCCATTTCTAGTAGGTGGGGAAATAGCCTTCTTTTTTTCTTTCTTTCTTTTTTTTTTTATGTCACTTGGCAGACATGGTAGGGTACAGATGCAGAGAGGGATGAAGACCTGGGTCCAGCAATAAAATCTAGCATGAGCAGTAATAGAGAGTTAATCTAGTGGATTGTTCCACAGAGGCCTTTCTGGAAGAGGAGACACTGAAGTTGTAATCCCAAAGATAAGAAGAAGTCATCCAGGCAGATTGGAGGATAAGGATGGCCCAGTTAGATGGAATGGCAAATGCAACCCTGGCTAGGGTGTAGAAAATGAGGAAAACTGGTTCAAGAGGAGTCTGAAGAGATCAGGCAGGTATAGGCCAGAAATAAATCTCACTGAAGGGTCAGCATAGCTCTTCACACATACTCAAGAACTTTAACTGATCTTATCTCTGTAGCTTCTTTGTGAATCTCATACAGTGCTTTACACATAGTAGGTGTTTTAACAGATGTTTGTTGAATAGATGAGGCAATATGCCTAGGAGAAGGCAAATTCATGTATGATGCTAACAGTCTTCACTAATCATTCAGACCACATTGACTTAATGAGCACCTACTGTATGTTGGATGTGGTGCTAAGTAGCATTTCCTGCAAGGATGTTGGAGTCTAGAGTTGAATCAACTGCTCTTTTATTGCTACAACCTACCTTCTGTTTGGCCTTTTAGAAAGAACCTAGGGATTTCAAGTGCCCATTTTAAGGACTAGCTTTCCAAGATGTAGGGTCCCTCAGCATCTGTCTTCTCGTAGTCACTCTAGTATTTGAGCACACAGGTGGAATTCAGCTACAAGGACAATGGTTTAAATCTTCTGAGCCATTAGTCCACCTGTCTGTTTCTGTGCCAGTACCATACTGTTTTGATTACCACAGCTTTGTAGTATATTTTTGGGTCAGGGAATGAGATGCCGCCCACTCCACTCTTCTTGTGCAGAACTGCTTTGGCAATACGGGGTCTCTTATGATTCTAGACAAACTTTATGATTGTCTTTCCTAGATCTGTGAAGAATGTGTCTGGTACTTTGGCATTGCATTAAATAGGTAGATTAATTTGGGTAGAATTGCCATTTTGATTGTATTAATTCTTCCAATCCAGGAATATGGGATGTCCTTCCACTTTTTTGTGTCACTTTCAATTTCTTTTTTTATCTTCTCGTAGTTTTCCTTGTGGAGGTCTTTAACTTCTTTGGTTAGATTTATCACTAAG